TTTATTTAAATATAAATTATTGTTAAAGCTACACGTGTTCTTTAATCAATGCAACGGTAGCTTATCTTGTTAACAGCCAATGCATTCACTTCGCTCTGTGTAATCAATATTGTTAATCACTAGCGTCATGTCATTTCCAACCAGAGAATACTCTCATACAATTTTATATCGGGACTTTTCAATAACATCCACGAAGATCCTAGTCCTAAATATATTTGAATCGAGCAGAGATTTCGTGTGGACCAAATGTGGAGTTCCATAATACTCGGGGCGTCGTCGATGCGTTTTAATTTATCCTCTAAATGTTTCGGTATTTATATATCTATAGATCATGGGTAGATGTTATATGGCTGAGGCAAATCACCTTCCATGAAGGGAATCCCATGGTTGTCAGTCCTCCTCTATCATAAAAAAACTTAGGTTGTTGCAGAGTTGCATTAAGTATATTAATGGTTTTTTAATAAATATCGTTCAATTTTTTCCAATTTAAAACTTTATAACTTTTCTAAAACATGTTGGACCTTGTTTGGAGATCTGAATATGAAATGGTCGGTAGGAATATCGAAAATCAATGAGACACGAACCCCCGTCCACTGATGAAAAAGCTATCAAGTTTAATCGCTTTTCGGTCTCAGTCTATGGATTTCCTAATATCCAATGCCAATATTGATCTGCAGCGCATCTTGTTTAGTTGTTTTTCTCATCTACCTATCAAGGAACCCCACGCTTGCCTGCCCTTTTCTATTATTAAGTTATTAGTATAGAAAATTTTATATTTTTTACATGTTATTTTAGACGACACGGGCGGGACTTGAACCGGCGTCCACAACGATCTGTGCTGCTGATTGTTGATATAAAATAATCTCTATCTAAATTTATTTTTAATATAGTTATATAGGAAAATGAAGCATCTATAGACTCGGAGTAGGATTAAAAATAAGTACGCTGGACCTAATTAGATTTTTATAACGAAAGAAAAGGTTTCATTTATTTCAAAGAAAAAAAAATAAGTAATCCTTCTTTAAAGATATATTTCGCGTTTTAAACCGTTTATTAAATGTCTACACGAACTGCGAACAATACTTTCCTTAAAGATTTCGAACTTAAAGAGGCTTCGGTTGTTCAATTAAAGAACGATAACAACTTTCCATTTCGTATGTCTAGTTATATAACAAGTGGTAGCAAAGTGGAAGAGTTAAATCTTATGGACTGTCTCAGATGGTTCTAGTGCAATCATCGACGCTTATATGACGAGCAATGACATCGCACTATGCTGAAGTAACACATTCTCGTACTTGCATCTTCGTACTTTTTCGGCATTTTATATTATCCATAAATTATTGTCATTTGGTAATTTATTAGTCCCATAGTGCCGCCGTCCTCTTAGAAAACATAACCCTCGTCGAAATGCGAACAAAATCAGTTGATTTGTCTCAATCACACTTAAGTAAAATTTATTTGCAAATGTTATAAGAGAAGAGCTAAATTGTTTAACTATATTTATTTTAATTAGGTGTGTACCCAGTAAAATATGTAGAGATAGAGGGATAGCACGTGTCTGTCTAGTTACTTGTATATCTACTTAACAGCAATATTAGATACGTAGCGAAAGATTATGCTCGAAGATTACAATTCACTTGCGACATTTACAATTAATTTGTTTGTTAATTAGCGAAAATTAACAGGATTGCGCGGTGTACTGCATTAGTTATTCCATTGTTTGGCGAACCCATAAGTAATTAGGTACTAAACAGAACAATATATTGCACCTCGTATTAGTTACACTTGTAAATAATAAAATATATTGACGCAAATCGATAAAAATTACGATGCATTGTGCAATTTAATTCGTCCCAGCGATTGAGCTATCCTGGGCACGTGGGTAATTATTGATTTCGTAAGCATCTAAATACAGCACTACACATTCACTAGAACACTTCGCATTCCAACATAATAACACTACGGTAGTCCAGGTCAGTCTACGCTAACTCACCATCACATAGTCGGTGCGAAAGACAACCGCACTGTTAAACAGCTGACGTCAAACTGAAAGGTGACTGAATTTTAGAGTCAAAATTCGATTTTCGAAAACAGCTGCAAGTGACCTCAAGTCCGCCGATTTGCTAACACAAAAGTCTACATTGTTTGAAATATTTCAACGTAAACTGCTGGTTTTTTGACCTCAATCTGAGGTCACCTAGCAAAAAATTCAATAAATAGGCGCGTGTAGTTTCAAAATAAGAGTTTTACAATACAAATAGCTTGTATCGGAGTTGAAAACTGTCGCCATTTTGCGTGCTTTTGCGCATGCGTCGTAATAGGGCAAGGGTGAGTGCTGGCAATGACATTAACTCTGGCATCTAGACTGAATAATAGACGTACACAATCTCTATATATGTACAACACATATAAGCAATGGTTAATTTACGTCTTGAAAATCTGTGTTTTCCAGCTGACGGTAAAACACACTTGTCTTGTAATTATATAAATAATGGCTATGTAAAACTTGCCTGAAAGAAATCGCCGTTGGCGATAGGCTCATCTTTGCACAAGCTATTTTAGGTCTGATCTTTTTCAACATATTTTGGAAATCGATCGAAGAATCGAACCCTACTCTTTTTTTAAGTTACAAACACAATTAGCTCTCTAACATATTAGAGACAAACATACACTCCTTTGTTACTTTATTGCATACCTACTCATTTTTCATATTTGTTTTTAAGCAATTAATCTGATTCCACCATTCTTTAATGCAGTATATTACATAATTCACGTACTTATTTACTATCTGCTAATATTAAAATAACTATAGACAATACTCATAGTTCATACTTAGTCAATAGTATGAATTTTATCTTTAACGACTCGACTTACAAACTAAGTAAAAGTCTGAGAAAATTATTTATAAATTTAAAATAAAATATTACCTTTCCACACTTTTCATGTAATTATGTCACTTGTTTATTAGAGTGTGTGACACGTGTTTTGCCCAAGGCCTTTTAACTATCTAACTTTTTGTTGAATTAATAATATAGAACCTTAATTTAAAAATCGAAGATAAATTGAAAAAAATTTCGACTCAGGCAGGACTTGGCATCGTCAGCGTTCCGTGCTGTTGCTCTACCAATTGAGCTTCCGAGTCCTACACCTCATTGTCAAATTTTTTCAACTTATTGATATATGCACCTATCGCGCAATGTAATTTCAACCTTAACACTTGCGTATTAAGGTTTAACGTCATAATTTTTTTTTAAATATTTTTTTATTTTTAATGCCTTCATGTGCAATAACAAGTAAAAAATAATAAAGGTTTCAATATAGAACCTTTTTCATCTAATAGGAAAAATTTTACTGTAGTGACAATATAAATTGTCATTGTACGTACTCTCAAAATTAAATCATTCCTTGGCTGTACACCTATGGATTCTTATTTAATCCATTGTGTTGTGGGCCCGGACCGCACATTTTAATTTGTTCATGATTACCTAAACTCGATCCCTATTGCAATATACTTCATCAGCGAAAATGTCGTCTAACAATACGATGGCCCTGATTGAAAAGCTGACCGGAAGAGAAAATCATCGTACATGGAGACGATGAGTCTGATGATCCCAAGAAACTATGGATTTTTATTTAATCCAACACTTTTCCATTAGCAGATAAAAACTATTTATTCATGACAATAAAACAAGATAAAACTAGGTATATTTTTAAAATGCGTTTAATTAAATCAAAAACCAATAACATTAACAATAAAAAGATACCTTCAATTTAAGTAAAAAACAAACTTCTTCCTACAGTGCAGTTTTACATGATGAAATACGACTCGATACTTCAAGGAGCCATGTACAATATAGTGAATAAGTGTAAAATTATCATACAGGTTTATTTTCGCTCATCATCGCCTTGAATTGTGTTAAGTACTTTAGAATTAAAATTGCAAGACTGTCCTTCCTAAAATATTTCCTGCACTTAATGCGCTGATGGCAGTTGCGATACGTAGTGGGATATGTGTTGTGTTTGTATTTAATTCAAACAAGCTGTGTGAGCGACTCTTGCGTAGAATAGTTATTTTGAGCATCCATCCTCCTCTTCATCTTTATAATTTTAAGCTGTTACCGACAACGTCGGTGGCGTCTTGTCGTTCTTGCAAGTTATTCTTAAAAGATAGACATATAGTGCCGCGGATTTTTTTTTAGATCGTTTAAAGGGAAATAATTTTATCTTACAACCTTAATTTAAAACAGAATATAATGGCAACTACTAAGACTTCTATATAAATTTGTACCCTAGTATAATAGAAAATAAGCTAATTTGTTACAAAATATTAAAAAAATACTTATGCGTTTTGCCGCATGAACATCAAACTCGACCTAAATTGAAAAATCGAGAACGATTACAGTTGCGCAAATAAAATGAAAGGCAAAGTAGCGTTGAAGGTTCGCGGTTACTTTTCAAATTAATTTATAATAAAACCATTTTAACTTGAAACTGTAGCTAATGCCCTGTTTTCTCATTCTTATTACTGTTGACACCTAAAACTTCTTTCAAACCGTCCAAACCGTCTTGTACCGTCTATTAAAGTTAGTAAGCTAAACACATATTAACGCGCAATATTCATTAAATATCTCCTTAAACTATTGAAAATTACGTAAGAACATAAGTACATAAACATTATAATGGCGCATTCCTTTTTTATATTTATTCAAACAACTTAATGCAAAACAAAAAAAAAACTTGTGCTAATCATAAAATAGATAATGACTATCAAAAAAGTTTTTGACTAAAAGACATGTATCTTATCGTGTAATAATTAAAAAAAATAAAATGTCTTAAAGGTATGTCGAATGTCAGATGTCAATTATAATACTTGAGGCGCGAATGGAGTGGCAAATTGTCAGATCAAAGTGCCAAGTGATACAATGTCTGTTAATTCAAAAATATAATTATACATATTTTTGAGCCTTATTTTTATAAATATTGTTTATTTCGCTACTAAAATGGAAAAAACGGAACAAATATATAGCCAGAGAAGACGTAAGTACCTTTGAAGTTGTTTAAATTGACGCTTAACAATTTGTAATCTAGTCTTTGGTTGTTATGTTGTTTTAGGTTTATTTAATCTTTCTTTAAAGAAAAACAATGCGCAAAGGAAGATAGTGAATAATAGGGAGGGTTCTAATGCTGTTAATACTTCTAATGTTATTGTTCTTGACGAATCGTTTGAAAGATTGCGCTCGGACTTTCCAAAACCAGTAAGTACTTTTTTGCATACCTACGTAAAAAACCTTGTGATATCGGAATACCCACGAATCATATCACATATATTTCTAATTTATACCGAAAAATAAATCTATATATCCATTCCACCCTCAATTTCTTTACAAGCAGGTGCTTAGTGTTTAGTGCTATTGCCTCCCGACTTGAAGCCAAGCCATTGCTTGCTTATGAAGCTAGATGCTGAGGCAATTTATATTCAGTATATTATTTAATTATCACATTTATAGCCTACAATACTGGGTACAAATCTTAGGGAAATATAAAATATAGCAATAGTTAGTCTGAAAATGTTCTAGTTTTGGTACTTTGAGTATATTATTAATATAAAACTACATCAACTTTTGTATCCTTATATTTATTTTTAGCGTCTTTCTCCACACAAGATATATTCCCCTATTGTGATTGATGATTCTTATGAATATAGTGAAGAAGAATTGCAAGAAAATGATAGGAACAAGCTTCCTAGCAAGTCGGGAAATGTAAGAAGAAACACGTACATTTAAAAATACAGCATACTTTGCTTACGGAGCTTAAAATTTAAATATTTTTCAGGTTTCATTAAATTTGTCTTCATCCTCGACTAGACAGAATAGGTTACCGAGTGCTCAAGGCTGGTCTCCCGCCCAAGATATATTCAGTACAACACCTACGAGAGAACCGGAACCCTCGACACCAACTGATGTTTTAAATAAGTCACAAGAACATTGTTCTTTAGACAGAATACAGAAATCTCATCATAAACTTTTAAGAGACTTATATGGTGATATATGGAAAGATGCTGCTAAATTCATGATACCATTAACTGGAAGAAAGTTAATATATGATGATGAAGATGAAAAAGAAAATATCACATCTGAGATAGAAAAGAATAGGGTATTATACTTAACAGACTCTGAAAGAAAAAAGATTAAGAGCACAGCCCTCTTAGAGATAGATGAAAAGAAATCAAAAAAGAAATTATACACGGAGAAAGTACCAAGTACTCCTGACGTGCCAAAGCCTAAGCCAAATAAGTTACGGGAAGTACAAACCACATTAAAGAAAAAGCTTACCAAGGGAATTACTGGTACCGAAGTGGTCCAAATAATGAATGGAGGATCAGTCGATAGATTGAAGGACGTTAACAGAAATGAATTGGACACTGGTTCAAATAAAGTGTTAAACAAAGTCTTGGGTCCTACAAACACAAATACTAGAAGCAATTTGACAGAAAAGACTCAAAAAGTAAACACTCAAAAGGGTAAAGATTTGACAAAGAAAATAAAGACTGCTACTTTAAAAACTAAAGATCATCATGTTGAAAATGTGACAAGAAAGCTCAACAACTTAGATGTATGTCATACACCAGAAACTAAAAGACTAAGCTTTATGGCATCTTTAGCTGGTATATTTTAATTTCAATATTAATAAAGTTTTGCAGAGACATATTATTACTAAAAAAAATAAAACTGTATTTGATTTTTATATATATATTAGTTTGTTAAATTTTGTTATTTTTGACAAAAAATCTAGTAAAACCATCAATTACTTTTGGCCATCAAATTAAAACATCTGGTGAAAAATCTTAATACACTATTAATAGGAAATCGTTTTATCTCCTCAGACAATGTCCCTCATTGGCGGTGTCATCCAGAAGTGCTTCAATACCACGACAGGTATAAGTCACTCCGTGAACAGCTAGCCCAGAGAATGTTCAAAGAGTTCAATCAAAATGTATTTGGAGACAAATTAGACCAGGATATGCCCATCACTTGGGATACGAAACTTAGGAGTACTGCCGGGTAAACCTTTTTGACTTAAAATGCTCTTTTGAAATATATGTTAATAAGTAGTAAAACAATAAATAATTGTAAGTAATAAGTTGTGGGTAAATAATTGTCTGAAAAGCATTTTGTCACCATTATACTGTCATGCGTAACTCATTTTAAAAGCACAGTTCATTTTGTTTAATTATTGTGATAATATTGTCAATAAATTTCATGTCGTTAATTAGTATAAGAATATCCACTTAAATATTTAGATTTTCTTAATGGTTTAATTAGTATATTATCATGATCATGAGGTTTTGTATTACAACCCATCTCATTTTTTTATAACACGTATTTAAGATAGAAGACAGAAGAAGTAATTAATAATGTTTTTATTAATTTCCAGTACAACAACCAATCGTCTAATAAAGAAGTCAAGCGGGCAACAGTTGCGAGTCTCCAGTATCAAGCTGTCCTGCAAAGTGCTGGACACGCCGCAGAGGGCGCGCGACACGCTCATCCACGAGCTGTGCCATGCTGCCACCTGGCAGATAGACGGCGAACTGCGAGCTGGACACGGCCCGCTGTGGGTGAAGTGGTAAGGGTAGTTCTGCTTGTTTTGAAAGTTTGCATGCACACCATGACATTCTTGATTTTGTTTTACTGTTAGACTTTTACGCTACCAGAAACCCTCGCGCGTACTATGAAATCCAACAGAATTACGGCGAAGGGATGTTTGTGACAGTATCCCTTCCAAACGATTGGGCCGATTTAAAGATTCAACTAGAGGTTGACGATTACAGGTGCAAGATGGCCCTCCGCGTCTTTCCGGAGTTAGGAGAGATATCCCGCTGCCATGACCTTGAAATTCACTTCAAATATTGTTACAAATGCACACAATGTGGATACAGGTAAGTTTGTTTAACATCAATCCAATGACAAGCTTTGTATAGGTTCATAGATAGATCTATAGATGGCGTTGTTTGCAAATTGTTAAATATTAAAATATATACTATATTTATCTGCTCATTGACTGAAAATATAATGTTCTGTAAGTAAATACAATTTTACTTAAGTTAATAATAATTAATTAAATTTTTGGGTGGTGGGACTTGAACTGGCATCTATAACGATCCGTGCTGCTGTACTAACGAATTGACACGAAAGTGTTTGTTACTTTCTGTGAAGTGAAATGTTACTTTCTCATTCCCAGTGTGAAAAGGCATTCGAAGTCCATTGACATCACGGCGAAACTGTGCGGATACTGCCGTGGCAGGTTTGAGATCATCGTGAACAAGAAAGACAAGAACGGAGTCGTGGTGTCGACTCCGGCTCGCACCGGAAACATGAACGAGTTTGCGCTTTACGTGAAAGAGAACTACAGCACGGTCAAGGCCGGACGGACGCACGCGCAGGTTATGAAGATACTGGGAGAACAATTCTCTGCTAAGAAGAAACCTAAGCACGACTAAGATGTTTTATGATTTTCTTATAAGTTAGGTTAAATGTTCTAAATGTGTTGTTAATTGTGAATTCTAGTTCATAATGAACTTTTGTAATTTATAATCAAATTTGAATAGGTCGAAGTCCTGAATTGTCTGAAAGGTGATCCTTAGGTAAGTACTTTTGGCCTTATTATGACTGTACTGTGAAGTTCAAATGACAGGTTTTCAGTCATTATTAAGCAGACGATTAACGTTATTTTATGAATCATATTAATACAAAAAGGATTACAAGCGTTACAGTAATATTTTTGCTTTGCATACTGTTTCACTTGTACCAAGTACCAAATATAAGTATACACTAATTTTGTAACAAATACTTTACCTGAATGTTTTGAAGCTTAGTGGATGAAGTTGCTTTTATTGAATTATTATTATTATAGATATGTTTAATTTATAGTAACGATGACGTAGAAATTACTTAGCATAGATTGTTAGGTAGTAAATAATCGATTTTCTATCAGTATTTTCTTTTTAAGTTAAAACCAAACTAATAAAAGGAACTTAGAGACAGAACTCCGAACTAGAATTAAACGCAGAGTAAGTTACATGAATTATTTCAAAGAGTTTTCAATATCAGAAAACCAAAATGAGGTAATGAAAATCCACTCATTCGAACCAAATAAAACAACGAACTACGTGTCATTTTATTTATTATACATAATAAATGTCAGATGTTTTTGTTAAATGATAAAGTAGGTACAGTCTTGGAACATTAAAAAAAATTACACATAATTTACATCGAAACGAGCTGCCAATATGAGCTTTTGATTCGGCTCCTTATATACACACTTATGATTAAGAAAATAAAAAAGGGACATTTAGTACGGTTATGTACACCATACAAAAAGTATATACATAGGATTCTATAGCACGAATAACACGATATTAAAATGACAGCGACGTTTTGTGTCTCAGTGGAGTTTTTGAAGTTTGATGAAATTATGGGATCTCGGCTAAAAATTATTTTTATTATAAATGCTGCAAAGTACCCATGCGTAAATAGATGCCTAATGAAACAGACAATGTGTCGGTTTTATGACAGTATTTATGATGGAAAAACAGACGTGCTGGGGTTTTACATGATTGGTAAAGCGAATTGGCACGTTGAACATTTAATTATGTATATAGTAAAGTACGGTGCAAGCTTGCCTATTAAAAAAGTACCAAAACCGTTCTATTGTAATTAATGTGGCAACACTGTATGATATATTCTGGAAACGCCGCTCTTCTTTTCAACACCAATTGCTAGACTAAGAATATCTTTTCATAATAAATACTCTTCGCCCTAATTTACAATTATATTTTCACCTATCTAGTTGATAACGCATATTGTATGCGACTTTATATGTTCAACATACACGACATAACATTATATATTCAGATAATAATTCTGTGTTGCTATCCATAATAAATTCTGATTTACTAAAGTGATCATTCATTTAATTATCTTTCCAGTGGCAGGATTATATAAGATAACCGTGTAACATTCACATTGACTAGTTATGAAAACGTACAAATTGTGATACAATATTTCAAAATGATAATTTCGATAATATTTCTAACGATTAGAGTGATCTCGTGCCAACTAACTTGTTAAGCGAACGAATGCTGTGAACGTACGTAATACGACATCGTTCGCCAGATACGTCTAAACGTAAGAAGACATCTAAACCTGGTAACGCTTATATAGGACACAGATTAATATAGGAAACGTGTAAGTACTAGTAGATTGTCAGGCATAAAATAATAATTAAAATTATTCCACGCTCATATAACTATTAAAATTAACATTCGATTTATACTATGAATATAGAATTTATCGGAAATATTCGAAGAACATTTGATTAAATGCAAAGAAAATAAAACAACAACATAAACGGGTCTACGCTTAATAATTAAATTGGACAGAGTTACGTTAAATAAATCGCTTATATCACAATGAAAACATTACGACTGGTCACAGATAGAAAACCATAACTATGGCAGCTTCTTGTTATCCTTAAAAAGATTCACTACGCAATCAACTATGAACATGTCAACGGGATTCAATGGCAACAGTACAACAGATCTCTGATTCGAACGGGTATGACGGGCCAGTCGTTAGACCGGGCTCGTCCTCGACGTCGTTACGTATTTAAAAATAATGGCATCGTCTCGTCCGAGACCTTAAGTTACGCTATGTACACGAGGCCGGCGGTCGACACCGCATTACAGCTAACTATACATTGACATTTACAGGTGCGTACGCACGTAAGGCCGGAGCCGTTCAGAAGCGAGGGTTTCGCAGGGCGGACCGACCGTGAATCAGGTCTGCGGCGGACCGTCTTCTAAAGGCCTAAATCTAACGAAACCGTCCTGAGCCACCAGCATGGTCCCCGCGGGCTCGTTGGGGGTTATCTCGTCTTGGGGTTGCGAGTACTCGTAGCTGCAATTTCTGGGCGCCGGTTGCGGCGAACTCATCGCGCACGGATAGTTCCTCTCGTCCGGATCTTCGTTGAAGCCGTAGAGATCCGTCGACTTGGGACGGTCAGGGAAGGGGTTGGCTTTGCCTCGTTTCTGGCTGCCGCTGGAGTTTACCGTGGACGGGGAGTTGCGTCGTTGCGAGCTCCTCACTTGACACGGACCATCGTAACTCCTGTTGGGATTCAAGGTCTGAATGCCGGACGCGTGGTACGACGCGTTTTCAGCGTTGTAGCCGCCGTACTCGTCGGGCAGATGCGGTTGGTGGTAGTGATGGCTCATCGCCGGGTCGTATCCCATCGTCATGCAGTTCTGAACGTTTTTGTTCTTGGGACGATGTTTCTTGCGCGGGTTGCTGTTCGTCCTCGACGACACCCTGTCGTAGGACATGTGTTTGAAATTGTGTGAGCTGCGATTCGAGCCCCCCGTGTAGTTTTGGTTCTTTATGTCCCTGATGAAGTCACTATTGCTGCCGTATTGTATGACGTTGTACTCGTGGTCGAGGGGGTCGTCTCCCTGCAAGGACTGCATTGCGGGATCGCAATTGGAATAGTGGTCGTCTGAGACTGACTCGATGCCGTTGTAGCCAGCCATGTTCGGGTGATGCTTTATCAGGTGGTTGGTGACCCCCTGGCTCGAGGTGGCGTTGCTAGACTCCGTGGAGCTACTGTGACCGGCGTTCGCTATCGAACTGTGTCCGGAATAATTCTCAGTTCCAGAATTATTGTCACAATTCGCTGCGAGCGTGCTCAAATGGAACCTTTGATGGTCTCCCGGGCCGACGCAACACTGGTCCGGTATGTTCTGGTGGTGTCCGGCGGTTTCGTATATCGGTTTTCCTGTCCTCAGCGTGTAAGTGTGCAGATTGGTGTTGGTGTTGCATATGGCGGGGTAGTCCGACTCGAATTGTTCATTGCTGGAGCCACCGGCGCACGGGAACAACCCTAACCCGGATATCTTTTGTCCGTCCGCCTTTTCGTGTTGCAGCGAAGCGACGATGCCGACTTTGAGACTTATCACCCACGAAATAAGAGCGACGACGCTGATCTCGATGAGACGCAATGAGAATTGGTAGCCCCATTGTAGCCAATCGAATTTTGTCATATTCACTTGATTTATGCCGAAGATTCCGAAAATTTGGAGAGCTGCCATGAGAACGAACAACAGCGCCGTGGCCAAGTTTATGTGTATCGCTTGATACAGGTTCTGGAAACCGTGAATATAGGTGTGGCTCTTTTTCTGGAGCACCGCTTTGAGCATTTTATATACATAGAGATAGCACAGACCCAACGTAAGGCAGGCTATGATAAATATAATTTGACACGTTAGACCTAGTACCCTTTTCTCGACTCCCTGCGGGGTTCTATAGATAGTATTACTAGTTTCGAAGATATGCAACATTATGCAGGAGAGTAGATGCAATCCCCCCGCTATTATGATCGTTCGAGATCTGAACAGAAACGCACAACACGTCGTCTTAAAGTTGATACTGTTCGTCAGTAGGAATAATATCGTGCTAGAGAACGCTATGCTGAGAAAAATTTCTGGCACGTGAAGTAAGATCTCGCTGATAAATATCGGGAGCGAGTTATTAATGTTATACGGGTCGTAGCACATATAAAATATTCTCATGAGGCACACGAACACTAGGATTAAATGGAGGATGATGAAATAGTACTGCGTGAAGAGATGGGTGAACTTATTGTAGCAGATGATCTTGAATATAGAGTATATCGCTAGAATGGTGAACATTCCCGTGGCTAAGTAAATATGGAGGTTCCAGGCGAAGGGCCAAGTGACTCCCGCTCTTTGCACGGGTCCACCGTTCTTCGAATCCTGTTTCAGAATCTTCTTATCCGAATTGACATTCGCGAGGTTGTGGTATCGCTCGGTCGACATCTCTGGATCCTTCAATTCGAAGCCGATGGTCGTGGCCGGCGAGAATTCCTTTCTGCTTTCATTCCTGTCCTTCGTGGCGTATTGGAGATTCCGCCTGGTATTGGTCTCGCCGTTTTGATCAATGATAAGTGGTCTATCGAGGTTATTCATGTCTGGATCTAGAACGGCTAGGACCCCTTCGGTGGACGCCTCTTTGTTGTCGGTGAGAGTGACTCCCGCGTCTTTAGTGACGAAGACGTCGTTTTTCGACGTTTTCTCTTGATTGTGCTGCGGTTTAGCGGTCACAGTTCTCAGGAGAACGTCCGGGATGTCCTCCTTCCTCCCATTGGAACCGGAGAGTATCCTCGATATGGTTGGAATGTTCAGAGAATTCGGCACGAAGTCCGTAAAGTTGGCTTGATCCGTCCCGTGCTTCTCGCCGTCAATTTCGTCGGGCTGAAAAGGTAAAAGAGCAGAGTTCGTTAAATACGTTATTAAATTTGTTCGACGGTATAATGACAAGTTTGGCTGTTGTCGAAATAAACTAAAATTAATTTCCAGCGACCTCATTTTCTATTAAAACTTTTCTAGTTAACTAAACGAAATTCATACACTTTTGGCAAACGACTAGGAACGCTATCGATAAATTCGCAAAAACGACTGCAAGAGACAGTGTATTTCTATTTGCGAACCCAAATTTTTATTGCCGAACGCATCTGTTTCCGTCCCGCTGCGCGAATACCGACCTTATGGCTGGGCGTGTTTAGAGCCTTTTTCTTCGTCGGTTCTGGGAGGGGCGGCGCGGGGGCCGCGGGAGGCGGGGCGGGCACTTGCGGCGAGGATGTCTCCTGAAAATTGTACAATTGAACGTTTGAGTGCATCTCGAAATGGGCCAATTTGGTAACACGCTTTGAACACCTGTTTATGTAGATGAGGTGTTAGTCGGTCTGTTAGAAACAGTCGGATTGCTCGAAACGAAGTTATATATGCGAAGCGCCCTTCACAGAATATGCATTTATTAGGAATTATAACCAATAGAGGGTACACCGTCACATTTATACTTTATAATAGAAGTACAAAGACAAATAGAGGACTTAAAATTTAAAAAAAAATATAAGAAATCCAATCTTGTTTATTCATAAATTCAGCGATATGATATTAAGATGCTTGTCACAGTAATGCGTACCTGTCCCGGCGGTCTAATGGGAATTCTCTCGTGCCCAGGTCCAAGGGAAGGAGGGGGGATGGGCCGTCGATTGAGGTAGCTGTTCCCATCTGTGTTTGTGCCTGAAACATTATTAATAATGTATAGTTATTGGGTTCGATAGACTATTATGGAAACGTGGAAATATTATGATCGTCTATGGCTGTATAATGAAAACTTTCCGACAACTTCTAGAACGCGAGCAGTCTCAGTCATTAAACTCATTGAAACAAAATACAATCACTCAATAAAGGGAACTTCCGAAACTAAAGCTACAATTAATTTAACTTGAAAACTCCTATAAAAACTTCATTGTTCGAAGCCCACTCGAAATTGTCGAAATGTTGGACAAAAAGTAACTGGTACTTTTGAAAGTTTGACATTGTTAGTGAATTCAACTTTGTCTCCGAAGCGACCCACACTCTGAACCCCGAGCACTCGATTTACGAATTATAATGAAGCCATTTGTGTGATTTATTTTTGAATAAAATTACCGAATGCACGAACAATACGGGCACTAGGAACCGCAAAGTGGTTTTACTCCGACTCACCTCGAAGTGTCGGCTTATCGGCGAAAGGGTTTCTGTACTCGGGCGGCAAAGGTGGTGTGAAGAAGCCTCGTCCTGGCGGAGCATACGACGGCACGGCACCCACACCGGCGAGCAACGCTGCACCATGATGAGCAGGCGGTCTGGAGCAAAGAAAATGTATTAAATAACAGAAAGCTTAACGCATATAATATTCAAGAAGTTACAACGTTATTTCGTGTACCGTGCCGAAACCCGTCGCCTGCGACACCTATGCAAACTCGACTAGATAAACATCTAAAAACCACGCCCGTACACGCCGGTACCACACAATGTGACCACAACAATAAAATTGATTCTTTTATGCGCGTACAAAAGTTCCACCTCAACAAAGCGACAATAACGCCCACAGAGAACTCCGCATCACGAAAACCAACAGCGGCGCCGTCCTAGGCATTTCTAGCCTAGGTTTCCTAGGAGCGAGTCAAACGTATCTGTTTATTCAAATCCTCGCTTAAATCTCGGACAGTTTCGCAAAAGCACGTTCGAGTGAATTCTCAATACGGGGGGGAGGGGGGTCCCCCCTAAATATCGCACGAATGGCGTTAAAGTTATTTTAACTTCGGAATGCGGCGGATGTGTGCGCCTGATATTGAATTGTGAAAATGCCTCGCAGTCGCTTCTATTAAAATTTAACTCGATTTATTGTTAGAATTTTAAGTTTTAGCTATGAGATTAAAACGGCCTCTTCGACGTTAATCTCTACAAAAGCGATTATTGTCTTTACTTGTTATCTTCACTACCGTATCTCTATTTACTCCTTATATTCAAATTTATTTGTAAATGTTAGAACTCAAATTAAAATAGCATATTTCTAGGTAGAACTGAATAATCCAAACTGGGCTGCTAATTACGTGCGTAATAAAGGTAAAAGTAATGAAGAAAATGTGTTCAACTCAACATTTTTACCTTTGAGCAGTCGAAAATAATAATTAGTTGTAGCGCAAAAGAGACACAAAAGGCGTCATTCAGGCGTTCTTTGGAGACTCATTAAATTAATCTTTGATAACTACTTGTTAATTTCGCCATACAAAACTTTTAAACTGAGTTACATTATGCAAATTGTTACCTAATTATGATACGGTTGTGATTACTTCGTAACTTGAATAGCCATTGTTGTAATCGCGCGATCGAATTCTGAGAATTGGTTTTATTTTTGTATTTTGTAGATCCGATGGATCTACAAAATATCGGTAGAATCTGCGAGACAATCGGGCAGACTACAATAATATTAGACTCTAACCAAATGTCGGTGATCCGCAACGAGCAGTGCTGTTGGGCCTCTCACACGCTATTTTATATAGCATCGTGTTACCACACTTTACCTGAACGTTGAATAACAGTTTATTATTTATTATAAGCTTTCATTAAAGAAAACATTTTTTGTCACTAAAAACGATTTGTACGCACACTTAAATAAAACACTTTAATGCAAAATATATTGGTTATCTTATTTCGAATTTATTTTAACTACGGCCTGACGTTGTCGACTACAACAGGACATCCGAAAATATATTTCGCGTTTTAAACCGTTAAATATGTAGATAATACTCGTGTAACCTACAGACGATACTTAAATACAACATCTTACTAATACTAATGTTGCTCTTAGAATCGGACGCGGCCTTATTCAAAGCAAAGTCAGTTAATTGTATCATAGAGTTATATAAACAAATCTACACCAGATATCTGCTGACTACCTCCTGCACTGCATCGTGGTCACCGCACAGGCCCGCTCCCGCTGGTCCGCTGTAGCGACAAAAATTGGCAGCGCGCCCAAAGCCGCGGCTATTCGGTTTATTTTACAAACGCTAACCGCATTTTAATGAGTCCCACGCGAAAAAAATTTAATCTGTCCGAAACAAGCTTTTGTCTGCGCAAGTGTGGGTAGTTGGACAGAACGCTTCCCGAATTAACATCATATTTTTCAAGCGACAACTCTGATGGGGCCGGAATATTAAAGTGTTTTGAGGGTTGACTTGAATCTTAAATTTTAGGTAAGTAATGAGCGAAACGCTTTCGCAACTACGCGTAGTGGATGTCACAACATTTCCATCTGCATTAAGTTTTTCCATTGCTATATATTTAAAACTATGGTCAAATTGGTACTTAATTCCATTATTTACACAATAAAACAGACACCTGATACGATGATGCGATACTTAGTTATGTGTTACCTAAAAAAATACAATCGTAATCATCGTCGTACATAATCCGTGACACAAAGCGACCAGCGAAGGCGCAGCTCGGCCCGTTTACAACGTTACAGTTCCAAATTCCCGTGCGGTGGATATAATATAATACAAGAGATGTAAATTATAGATTTCATGGTTCCGTGCGTTTTGTGAGAGCCGTCGAATAGCCGAATGCTTTCCGCGCTCGTTCGCTATAATGGCTTTCTGTATATGCACATTATCATTTTCACAATTATTCGTAGCCGTTACGTTTGTGCAGCCGGTAATGTAGCATTAATTATATAACTAGGTTCAGCCCGCGGCGTGACTCCGTATTGGATTTTACGTGCATGAAAACATTATTGAATTACATCAAAAAATTCGTAACTTGTAACGAGAATAATATTTTCAAAATTAACGTAATTATTTTACGTTTTTCAACTAAAGACTTCATTCAACCGACGGCCACTGTGATAGCAATCGTATTATAAGTCAAAGTTCTTTATCGCGAGGCCTGTCCCACTTTATTTCTATGCGCCCGCAAAAGAATGAGTTCAAAAGCACAATTAAAATAACGAAGGGCGAAATGATTAAGCCGTGGAAATTGCATCCGAAATGCAAAAGAAAGCAATCGTGAAGTAGTTAAACGCTTAAAACCGGGTCGGGGGTTCGATGCCGACCAACAATGGAGTGAAACAAAGCCGGTTTAGATTAATAGTGGTCTCGAGAATTGCAGCGCTGCAAGTATCCCCTACTTTTGTAAAATATCCAGTTACTGTATGGTGCAAGGTAGAAGCGAAAGTCTAGAGATTTAAGAATAACTTAAAATGTTAACTTGTAAAGTCCGATACAATAATTTCAAAAGTTTTATTCAATTAACACGCTTGCAATTTTGGTTTTTATTTCCGCAGTAAAAAGCATTATTATTCGTTATCGCTTGCCTTATTAATGTCCACTTGAGCCCGTCGCCTCACTTGACTTGGGCCACATAAACACTCCGAGTGAACACATTTTGACGAGGCAAGATTAATGCATCACTCGACTGAACTCGGATTTATAAATTCGACTCTCCTAATCTCTCCATCTCAGTCAATATGCGCCACGAATATATTTCTGGTCATAATTCTGTGGTAATTTTGATTTATGTGATTCCTCCATAGATTATAATCTACCAATAAAAGCTCTCTGTATGAAAATAAACTTGCCGTTATTTCCAAATGTACATTTTCTGTTTTACAAGGGATCCTGCTGGGAGATATATAAAACCAGAAAGCTATATTTAGGGAGGATTTTAAGCTAGGTCATTAAATATTCAAATAAGGGATGCAAGGAGAGGGGCGGCTTTTGTTTGAGTCTACCCCTTGATGTTTAAATTAAATAAAAAAACTGCAACATTAGAATCAAGGCGGTCTGGTCTGTAATTTATTTTACGCAAGAATAAATTTGTTTGCTATTTGCGTTTTGTAATCACTATCAATAATTTCAGCTTACCTTCATGTGTGACAACTTTATTTCGATTTTAGATTGATTTTCAAAAACACAAGATGCTAAGAGTTAATCATGCGAGTAGAGTAGAAGTAATAGTAGTCCAACATAAAACCGTTTAAAATAGTAAAATTAAAGTCAAGTTCAAGTAGTGTTTAAAGTAGACCAATATATGTTTTTTCACTGATTGACATTACGTGTAGGAAGGCGGTATCTCAATCGACCGAAACGCTTTATTCTCTGGATTCAAATCCAGGATCTCTGGCACTCAACGCCCTGCTAGACATCGTTTAACCATTGAGCTGAGGAGGCAAATTTGTAGCTGAACCCGCAAGACGCATGTTTTCGTCGCTTCGGTTTCTTGTGTCTAATCGTTAACAAAAGCTTATGGGGTTAAGGCTGGAGTAACAGAGTGGGCTTCAGAAATAACTGAGCATTAAGCGATATTACAGAAGGGCAATAAATATTTTATATAAAAGAAATATTAAAAGGAAAAATAAGCAAGTCGCTCCCGTCCGCCTCGCGTCAGTGTGATTTATTTATGGCTTAGCGCCAGGGACAAGAAAAAACGTAATAACGAAGTTTAGCCCGCCTTGGGCGTTATTTCAAAATTGCCATGTATTTCATCGCTTCCTGCTTCACGCGCTTGTAAAACTGACACAAAATATTGTGACCAATTAAAACAGAGCTTTTATGCACATCTCTGTAACAACTAAGTACATTTTAATCTTGAACCCGATCTCGGTATTTGTGATGAAGTTCTTTGCATAATTTTTGCTTAATTAATATTCTCTTGTTTCACGAAGGCGAGGCACGGTTTTCGTGAATCGTGACGCATCGTCAGCCGATAGACATTTGCATAATCGCATCGTGAGCCTAATGAAATGCCCTAATCGACAACGTTACGTAACGGACGCGATTACGGAGGCGGCAGGGCATTGCTTTTGAGAGGTTTTTGTGAATAATGCGGGGCAGATGGGAACCACTTGCGCAGTGGGAAAGTTGTTCTGTTGGTAGCGTTGAATCTCAACGCGTTTGATAAGGAAGTACAAACGATGAATACAGACTATTAAATAACAAGTTGTTTGCAATTTGTAATCAAGTGTTACATGTTTAATCGCTTCGTCAACTGAAATCCTATAGAAGGTGGGCATAAATGTTAATTATTCTATGGATTATGACTCTTTCATTGATATCATGTCTACTTATCTTAGTATGTTTTAATTTCGAATAAAACAAGGTTCAGCAGGTCTGAACGAGATCATTAAGTTCAACCGTTACAAAGAACCTTCAGTTTCTATTCCTAAAGAGGTAAACTTCAAAGCCTTTTTTAATATTTAATAAGTAATTACTTCGACTTGCACTGCCATTCTGAAATGAAGCGAATAAAGGATAACCCGAGGCGGTTTCTTTTGTACCTATTTTAAGAAATCAACGTAAGAGTT